AAGCGATACCAAAGAAGAAACTATCAAAGAACACAAAAGAAGATACCTTCCTATCCAAAAAAAATTTACGAACGAAACTCAAAAAATAAATACCGGCTGGGCAGCGCAAAACAACGCGCGCCTGCGCACACATTCCACATCAGGAATTGACAGAGCAACGCGCATGGTGACTTCCCAAACATTTTCTCCTAGCGCACCTTGTTCGTCTTCAGATCTAGGTGAGAATCGAGAGAACGCAACGTTCCAATCTTCCAAAACACCCCCACAGTTTTGCTCTTTTGCCCGGGATTTGTGAGCTTTCTTCAACAGGTAGTCTCTCAGATTTTGACAAAATCGTTTGATGCTCATTTGATCGGAAGTCCAGCTACAAGAGTGCTTGTTTAAATATTTTAAACTTAGAAGATTTTAAAAGGTAAATGTTTTTTCTAAATATTATTTTAAGTTTTATTAAATGTTTTTACAAATGCTATACGCTTGATTCTAAAATTGAGGAAGCAGTTTTGTCATTGAAAGAATTCTTTTTTAATGTGTTTATCAAAATTCTGGTGGAAAAAATGGCACGGAATACTAAATATAAATTTTAGAAAAGAAATAGAATTGCCTTTTTTGAAAAAAAAAATAGTTTTCTTTTTTTAAAAAAATTATAGAAAATATTAATAAAATTCGTATTAAAATAATTGAAATTTTTTTATTTAGAAAGAAAGGAAAATTATTAGTTCAATTTTTCTTTTAAAAATTTCTAGTTTAAAAACCGGTAAAATACTTCAATTAAAAAAACGAACTGAAAATTAGAATTCAATTATCACCGAAGCAAATTCTAATTTAAATATTAAAAAGAAGTTTTCTTCAACTTAAATTGAAAAAAAATATTTAAAAACGTAACTACAAATATTAAATGCTTTTCTTTAAATGCTAACTACAAGTATTACGTAAAATATTCTAATATATTAATGAGCAATAATTTTAAACTATAAATGGCAATATCTAACAAGAACAAAGTTAGCTTCGTTGTTAAAACTTGTGAACTCTATTTTAAAAAAATATGAAACTCTTTCCATTTTATTACGCATTCTAAATTTATGCAAAAATTAATAAAAAGTTCTTTACTTTACATAACTGAGATTGCCTTTAATACTGTAAGTTATATCTAATATAACTAACAGAAAATAATTCCATTATATAATGTAACGCAAAAGTGCACATTATTTAAAAAAAAATTTTATTCGTTAAAAAGTTTGCCCAATTTAAGTTTTTACATTCGAAATATTAACATAAAAAGTTGATTCTCTCACACGAAAAATAACGACCATATGCATATCCATTCGCTGTTATTTACAGAAAAAACGCTGTATTTTAAATTTCGAAGCATAAATGTATGGAATTAGAAATAAAATCTTGATTGTTTAAATGTTCTTTATATAAAATTTGGAAATCACACTGGAATTTTGTATACATAAAATCTTGATTCCTTAAATATTTTAAATGTTTAATTAGGAGAGTTTTATTTAATTTAAATCATCCGTACCAAGAAGAGTGCATCAGTAAGGAATATAATTGTTGTTATAGGTACGATTAAAAGCATAAATGTTTTTAGGTGTACGACCATAAATAGTAAAAATATCATTTTTAACAAATATCTTACGCAGATGCTCTGAAAAAGATTAATGAAAATAATTCACAAAATTTTCATTCTATTAGATAATTTTAAGATGGTTGATGTATTATTTAATTGAATTTTTTGTCTATTGCTTTTTAGTTTTTGTGAAATATAATTAAACATTTGGCAGAACTATAGTAGTTTGTATAACACATTGGATAGTTGTAATATGAAGATATCTTCTAGTGTGTGTGATTTATTACACAAAATTTATTTAGGGACTTAATTTGAACTTGAATTAGATTAAAACTTTTGCTCGACTAAGTGAAATTTTTTTTATTAAAAATGAACTTAAGCTTTATGAATGCTCGATAATTCTGCAGTTTCTCTTATAAAATCTATTCTTTATTTAATATTAAATTTAAAACCTAATTTCAGTCTGAAGTAATGTTTTACTACATTAGTTTTAGTTATCTTTTAAATCAAACAGCTCAAACAGTAGTTGAATTGCTTAATGTGTTCCGCTGTTTCTAATATTTAACAGTAATTTCTTTATATGCTAACAATTACGCATATATTTAGCTAAAAAAAGGTTTAATTTAATAAATATGTGATTGAATATTACAAATAATATAATAGAGATGAATTTGGCAAACTATTGTTTTAAAGGTCTCCATAAGAAGTGGGGCATTTTGAACAAATTTCATATAGTAAATTCACTAAAAAACTAAAAAAAAAAAATTCAAATAAAAGTTCTGCAAAGGCTAGTTTCATTATATAAATAATATGAAACAGAATTTACTCATATTTTATTAAAATCGAAAAATTGAAAAAAATGGATTGAAAATAAGTTAAGTATATATCCTTCAAAATAATTTTATTATATTGACAAGACACAACGAATTGCGCATAAGATAAAGAAAGTGAAAAATATGACTTCAGCGAAGCATTGTTTCTTATACATATATTGTGAGGCATCAAATCATACATATTTTAAGAAACATAGAAAAAACTTTTCTGAAGTGCGAAGTAATCCATATTTACTTACAGTCTCGCCAAGAAATATTTTCCGGATATCAGAATGCATGCAAGTAAAAATTAACTTTTGAAGGAATAATATTATTATTTTAATGTATTATCATTTTATGTAATTTTGCAAACTGATTTTCTATGTAACTAAACATATAAAGATCTTGCAATTGATAAAAATGCCCATTTTCCATTTTTATTTCTTCTATTTATATGTTTTGTTTAACATTATATTTAAACATTTAATTAAAGAACAATTTGTAATCAAATTATTTTCATAATTGAAATTACAGAAAAAATTTCAGATTGAATAATTAAGAATTTTAATAAATTTTTCTTTCACACTGAGAAAAAATGTTTTCTTAAAGTTACCAGTATATGGTAAAATTTACTGCCTCCTGGCTCTATGGGAAAAACAACAAACTTAATTTTTACCGAAGAGCTTTGGTAATGAATTTGGTAAAATCAGTAACAAAATCTGATTTTATAATGCGTGATGAAATTTGGTAAATGTAGTAAAATTTTGTAATTTTATCATTAATCGTGCATTTTAGTTTTCTTTTTCAGAATTTCATTTCTTTTTTTGTATGTATTATTGTTATTTCTTCATATAAAGATATTAATTTATTGACAAAATGTAGTTAACATAGTACTAAAAACACTTATTAAATAGTTTTTTATTAAAAAGGATTCAGAAATTAAAAATGCAATGTTGACGGTGATATTCCACAAAAAAAATTTAAATACTTGTGTTTCAAACTTTGACTTACTCCTGGGTACTCATTTAAGTATACATACCACTGTCGAAATAATACTGTTTCTTAATATCAGCTTCTTAAGGCAAAGGTTCTCTTATTCTAAAACTTGAATGTATATGGAGAAGCTAGTTCAATTATATGCGATATGGGGAATTTTCAGAACTATATAATGTGCTAAACATTTCATTTCTACTGAAAAGAAAACAAATTTAATAAAATGTCTACCTTAGAATATATTAACTTATTTGCATCAATTAAATAGAATATTTTAATATTTATCCTAGTCTTGGAAAAGATTAGATTTAATACTATAAATCATATTCAGTGGATCGCGTTTCGGACCAGTAAAAAAATCGACGGTAAAAAAAATCGAAAATCGGACCAGTAAAAAAAATCGCATGTGTTAATGACGACTTAAAGCACATTAAAATTTTTGAAATGAAAACTGAAAATATAACCATAATATTGCAATAAAAATATCTTTGTACTGTGACAATATATTACTGAATTTTTGCCATATTCTAGAAGAACTGTTTGAAGATTTTTCAACAAATCTCTAATAACCTAAAAGATATTAAAATAAATATTTTAGATTAAAAACTAGCAAAAACTCCAGAAATGTTTTGATTTTGTCATTAAAATTGAGAAATATTAATTTTGCTATAAATATTTATCGCATTTAAAATTCTAAAAAAAAAATTAAGAATCTTGCAAAAACTTTTTAAATAATACCAAATATTTCGATGCAAAATTATAGTACTGATATCTATTTATTAAAGAATAAATTAATCAATTAAATCGAATAATGTAAAAGAAATTTGAAATAACCACAATAAAATGTTTTGCTACTTAACACAGTTCACTTAACATTGTCTAACGAATGGGAGACTTTACGGTACTTACGTATTAACACAACCAGGCCAAAATTCGCATAAATCGCCAAATTTGGCGTAAGTAGAAATAATTGAAATAAATTTTTTTTTATAAAACAAAGTATTTTATAAACAAAATTATAAGCATATTTTTTTATAACCTTTTATTTTACACATTATTTCGATTTGTTGAATGTATTCGAATTGTTGATTGCACTCTTCGACGTTACATTTCCAGAAGATTTGCTTTCCGAAATACAGTTTCATTTTATGAGAATTTTTACAAGTACGTTCGTTCGGTATAATTCCATATCCCTGTAACAATTCAACAGCATCTTTTTCACTCGCAGGCAGATCCCAAATACCCATAGTTAAAGTATTTCACGGCATTCAATCTAACCAGTAAGCAAAATAATTTGTTTACGAAAAACCACGTATAACACGTAGGGTTGCCGTAAGTAGGGTTGCCAAATTTGGCGATTTATGCGAATTTTGGCCTGGTTGCGTTAATTCGTAAGTACCGACTTAACTTACTACTCATTAAGCTAATTTATGAACTCAATTTCCATAACTCGCTCATACATTTTTAACTAATTCATTAAAGATATTTTATCTCTTACTATCGATAAAGATATATTCATTCATGTTATATTCTCAAAATTATAATTTAAAAATGCTTTTTTTCTTTTTTTTTTATAAATTATGATATATGTTTTGGGAGGATGGGATTAAAAATAATTCTAAAACATGGATTTAGACTTTTCATTTTATGTATAGGCTAAAGCCCTGTATCAAACTATTGTTGAAAGTATGCTCAGAATTCCTTCTAAAAAACTTTTAGCACAAAGGAGACCAACTCCGCATGAAGTAAATCAGATTTTATCAATTTTTTCTTATACTTATAATCGTATCTATAATTGACAAGCTGAGTGAATGAGTTCTAAGTGACATTTCAGTAAATTATCCGAATTTACTGTTAAAACTGTTCAAATTTACTCAAATTGCTAAAATTTACAATACCGAATGATATTTTAGTAGATTTTATTAAATTAGTCGAAGTTTCTGATATATGTTAGGAAATAAAAATTATTTAACGTCAAACTTTTAAATACCAATATCTGAAATTCCACACTCTTCGTGTTATAATGCTCGCACTATAAGCGTAGTGTTATTTACTACTAAGAGATGACTTTCTAAGGTTACTCGTTTATTCCTCGCCAAATGAATTTGTAATATTATTCCAATTTCAAAAACTATTACCTTATATTCTACTGAGATCGCCGAAATTTAATGAATTGGCAAATAATAAAATTTTGTATATTTAAATAAGACTGACATAAAAACTAGAAATTTCATTTTTATTAAATACGTCACTTAGAATCTTTATACACTAAAGCTCTTATATTGTGAAGTAACTTATGATATGTTTTAAAGGGATTAGAAATAATTTCACTTATTATGTTTCACTTAGTATGAAACATATATTATGCTTTCCGAGTTCTATATAAGCACAAGCTCTATATCAGACTATTGTTGAAAATATGCTCACAAATGATGCTGACAAAAATTTTGCTCAAAAAGGTTCCGCTTTACTGTAAAAACTGTGATATAATAGCTTTCTGAAATAATTTTCTGAAAGTGAGGTACAGTAGCTTCCCGTTATTTCAAGATAACAGCAAATCGAAAGTTCATGCATGCTTTAAAGATGTAAATTTAAACACCAATAATGGATAATGATTACCCTAAACTGACTCACATTCACACGAAATCGTAAATTATTTAACTTCCGAAAATACCATTTCTCTCGACTGTGGATATGGTCATTAGACAGTCTACATTTGAGTGCAAAATAGCGAGAATTCGTTGTTGTCTTGCACATTCCTCTAAATTTACAAAAACTAAAACTCCCATTTCAAGATGTTTGCTTGTTTTTAGTTGTGTAATGAGGATAATTATATGTTAGTCTTTAAATGACGGCCAATTTGAATAAATAATTTTATTATTCGAGGCGTATTTTTTTAAGGAAGGGTCGTTCGAAAATAAAAACCGAACGAAAGAAAATTTTCACGAAGCAAATTTATTCTCAGATTCTACATGCGTCTTTCTGTGTATTGACATAATTGCCAAGTTTTTTTAAACACTTACAATGCCTTACTAGATTTAGAATACCCTCTTCATAGGAACTTGCCGCCTGCTTCACAAACCAAGAGATCACGGCCGTTTTCGCGTAGTTCGTTCATCGTTGTAGTGGTTTGCCACCGAAATTATGTTTGAAATATCGGAAAAGATTAAAATCGCTCGGCTCAAGGTCTGGGCTACAGGGGAGGGGGATCTAAAATTTCCTCGCCAAAAGAGTCAAAGGAAGCTCTGATCTGAGCTGCTGAAGAGTCATTGTCATGGAGTAACAAAATTGCCAGTCAGCATGGCAGCAGCTCTGTAAACTTCACAAATCTGCCGACGTTTGTATCGGGCAGGTTTTTTTCCGACAAAAAAATGCACCACTGATCGTATTTCGTACGAGGCGGGTGATTCAATAATTTTTTCAATAATTCACAAACTTTAAACATTTTAAAGGCACAAAACTGACCGTACAGGTTACCTACATAGCTGCAACTCTGCACTGCTGTTCCTAAGGAATGCCAAGGCACAATACGAAGTACTCATTGCGACGTTGGCGCCATCTATTAGCCTACACAACAAAACTGTCCTTACTTCAAAAAAACGCCTCGTATTTAATATTTTACGGCTTCTATTCTCTTAAGCCTAATACAAATTCGTCTTATTATTCTCTTTGCTATGCGTTTGTTTGATTTACAAACTAAATTTATTGTAAGAATTAAAGTTTCTATGCATTATTTAACAAAATGCTCATACTTTAAAATGTATCGTAAAAATAACTTTATCGATTCTAATGTGTTTATCTTATTATTATTACAAACTTTAAGTGTTATTGAAAGCTAAAAAGGGTGGCAAATGTTTACAAACTTTTTTAATGTTGTCAACTTTTTATAAATTAATTTATTTAAAATACATAATCTACATTTACATAATACACATTAAATAGTTTACATTTATTAATAAATTGTAATTAAAGGAACATTTCCGATATTTCTTTGCACCAAGAACTGACTTTAATGCTTAATCACACTCAGAATTATCTCTAGTGCTTTACTACACCATGTAATTGTCACCATTTTTAGTTTTAAGAAACACTAAAATTGTTCATAGTGCATACATAAATCATGCCTTGTCTTAAAGGGAATAAAAAATTATTTCTGAAAAATACATTCAGCTTTAAGATTCATGTAAAGTCCTTAGCTTTGTATCAAACTTTTGATGAACATTTTATCAGAACTGGTGAAGACAGAAATTTAACACAAAAAAGGACCCTTTCTCTGTGTATTAAATCAGTATTAATCTCTTTTTTTATTATCTAATCATATTATTTATAATTGTAAATTGTAATTAGTATTAAATTTTAAGAATTATCATTAATATCTTAATATAACAGGATTGAAACGTGCCACAATTTAATCTTCAACATTTATATGAAAGATTAAAATATTTTAACGTACGTTCATTTTATTGATAAATATTTCTATGAAAAAATTAATTTTTTTAATTAGAGAGTAAAACTATTCACATTCAGTAAACGTGACGAAATAAATAAAAATGCCTCACCATTCATTTAATGACTATCGATTTTCGTCAAATATGTGACCCTCTAATGTTATCAGCAAAATATTAGTCTGAATGCCTCTGACCGATTTTGGAAATAGCCTACTAGTCTCGTCAAAAAAGTCATTTAACATTTACGCAAGAACGACGATTGAGTAAAAACGTGACGTAATATTACAAATTCACATCCACAATCTATGAAAAGAAATCTAAGTGGCATTACATAAGAGATTAAAAGTGCTCAACTTTTCAAGAGAGAGATTATAATGTCACAAAAACATTTATTAATTTGACACCACGATATAATATATTTTTATTTTTATCGTTTTTAAAAAGGCATTCCACAATTTCTTTAATTTCACTCTATTTGCGATAATTGTAGCAAGAAAAAGTGTATTTGATGTGAAAAAAGCACGAATTATTATAATGTATTGCGGGACTAAAATACTAGCTAACTAAACGAAATATGTTTAACTATAGACAGTAATTAAAATTACCACTTAACATTTATGCTACCAGAGTAATAACATTAAATTAGATTTAACCATAAAAATCCATCTGTTATAAGCAGTTAACTAGATGATAAGAATAAAACATTATACGATGATTTTAAACTTGTGTTAAAATATAGTCATATTATTATATAAATTAATATGAGCATTTAATTTCGATTTCACTTCTATTTTAAAAGAAATAAAAATAAAAATATTTCTAGTATGAATCTTAAGAATAAATCATAGTATTTATAATCATAAATCAATAAAATAACTTTTGAATATTTTATTTTCTCCATTAATATATTCTGGTGCCCTGAAAATAAAACTTTATACATATATTCCTTGTAGCAAAAGTATTTTAATTGAATATAAAGTGTTTCACTTGCTTTTTCTTTTCCTATAGTAAATGAAAGTCTTAGAATACAATTTTACTTGTGCTAATTTGTAAAACTCATTTCAGTACACAATTTTTTCTGTACTACCAGTGAAATTACTTTATACCTTTTAAACTATATTTTCAATCTTCTAAGCTTTATAAAAAAATTTAAACAAACAAGTTAAATTCTAACTGGATCTACGGTTCAGAATTATATCATATTTAGGTCATAAAGTCATTGTTTTAGTTATTAAGATAAGTTATAAATTATTATTTTCGATTTTTAAACTTCCAATTAAACAGTAATTTGAAAATCCCTTTAGTTACTGTTTGGATTTTCATTTTAATTCAATAAAATTAAGATGGCAATAAAAAAACATGATCAAATCTACCGTAAGATGGTTAAATTTACCCTGTTTTTACCGTTTATTCTTACGGGAACACCAAAAGGTTCAGTAATTTTTGAAAAAGGGCTTTGGTAATATTTTTTTAAATTAATAGTTAAATATGGTTTAGTAAACCTAGTAATTTTATCGTGATACCTTATAGCATGTCTTTAAAACCATTTATTCTTCAAAATTTACTTTCCAGTTTTGTATTTCTTACTAAATGTGTGGTAATAAGAACCATAAAATTTGAAATCCGAAATTTACGGTAAAGCGTTACCATATAAATGACAAATTATCAAATGAATTATTGAAATACCGTCTATTTTAGTTTTTTTTAACTAGGAGTATATTTTTTTTACCAAAAACATCATTATCAAATATTATCAATCATTATAATTTTATCAGAATTTTTTTCTGTGTAGGGACTGAATAGCTAGAACATTATATTAAGTTTCTATCAATGCAAAATTAATGGATAGCATACTAAATTTCTTACATAATTGCTGATTTATGGTTAAATATTCTAGAATTAGTAAATGTAAAAATCGAAATTTTAATGACCAAATTGGTGCAACTAAATTGATATAAATCTCTACTTTAAATTTTAAAAATTTTAGGATAGCTAACTGAATTGTTAGTTAAAAGTTTTCTTTTAGTAAAGTTTAAGGACAAATATTTATATATTTGTCTAAATCGGTAGAAAGGAATTAAATTAAATCTCTAGTATTTACACAAAAATAAATAATTTAAAGTATTACTTAAAGAATAACACTTATGTGCGTAATAAAAACTATTACAGACTACATAAAACTCTTAAAATAGCATATGTTTAGGCAAAAGCATGACTCATAAAAAATACAAAAGAGTATACCGTTTTATTCAACTCGTCAAATTCGATGTTTAATGTTTCTGTGCAAGCTTTTAGCA